TAAAACTGAAAATAAATCTAGTCGAATAGTTTATGGAAACCACTACGTGTTTCTATTGTTTAGCTATAGATACAATTATTCAATCTGTTCAATACGAACGTTTATCCAAGCATATATCTCCTCATTTACTTATATTACATAAATTAACTTCTCAACAAGAATTAATACCATCAATAATACCATGTTCTGTCATATTACACCAATTAGAAATACAAACATTCATACAACAAGAATCTCCATATCAAATGTTTCATTTTCAATATCAATCATCAACAAATTTCATCATTAGATTCTATTGATTCAATAAATCATCAAATTTTACAAACTGAAATTAATTATTTACAAAAACAATATGATGAAGCGAGTGCTATTGGTGATTTTACTCAACAATTAGCTGCTGAACACATTATTTCAAATAAACTTCAAATGATTGAATCTTTTCAAGAACAAGAAAAATCGCAAAAAGATAGTCAAATAGAAATTCAAATTTCTTCCACAATCGATAATCAACAATCAGTTGAATATAAAAAATCTAAAACTTCAATAAAATCATCAACTATCAATGAAAAATCTCTTGATACAAATCAAATTAATGAACAAATACATGAAATTTTGAACAATTATGATACAATTTTACAAAAACATATACAAAATGATCAAGCAGAACTTTGTAAAATACAAACTGATATTGATCAAATAGAAATTCAAACAGATAAATTATCGTCTACCCATATAGAACAAGAATCAAATAAAATAATGCATCAACAAACGATTGATTCTATTGAAGATCTTCATCGAGTAAGTATACTTCTAAAACAAAAAGATAAAATTCCTCTCCTAATTCATAATAATTTAGAAACATCTCTTGAAAAATTTCAACAAGAAAATAATCGTGAAAAACAAATTGATATACAACTTCAAATCTTAGATAAAATAGATCAATTAGATAACCAATTCATTAATCATAAAACATTAGAAAATCTTCGTAAACATCTTCACGAAGAACAACAAAAACAACAACAAGCTTCATTAAATCTTTCATCAGATAGACAAATACATAGTGATACTCATATTTAAATTATACTTGTTCCAACTCATCTATCAAAATCATCAACAATGACGATTGCCAAAGAAAAAAAAAATTAAAAATATTTTACATCAAACCTGCTATTAGTGAAATAATACCAAAGATTGATTCAGTCGAACAAACTAATCTTTCATTAGTAACAACTAATGCAAAAGAATTATATCAAGAATTACAAAAAATGAAATGGTTTTTGAAAATACTCAACAAGTATAAGATATTGTAGATGTTAAAGTTCCACCACTAAGTGTTGTAGAATAAAAAATTCTATTAGATATAATTTGATATTTCTAGGGAATTCCATTGCCAATGAAAATAGGTGTAGCAATCGAACATGATGAAGAATATCACACAATTGATACTATTCATAAAATTTGTGTATCTAGTCAAAGTCGTTTGCAATCAAATTCTATTGTAGCCATGAATAGTTCATCTTCATCTAAAATAGTTGATATGCCAAAGAATTCTGAATATCAATCATCACGATTAACAATAGTCGAAGATGTTGAGAAATATTCAATTATCCAAAGAAAATCTAAAGATCGAAAAATTGCTACCTTAACACAACGATCTATTCCTCAATTGAAACGAGAATATGGAAATGTTTATATTTGACATCGAGTAAATGTTTTCATATTCAATATTTGATGAAGAAGTTATAAAGAAAAGGTTATAGTGAAATTTTCAGTACAATATTATTATGTTTTCATGAAATAACTTTCAAACAACGATTGAAAATAGTTAATGGGTCAAACCTAAGATTCTCTGTGATTGTCCATTATCAGTGTATTACGCAGTATAGAGGTCAAGTCCATATTCACTTTTCGAAAGCACCGAAAGTCTAACAATATGTCTGTTAATTTCTACGTGAAATCGAATGTATCTTTTTTTTATCTAAGTTTAAATTAAAATCAAATAACTTATTATACACTTGTTTGATAAATATCTCTTGAAAACATAATGTTATTGAGTTGTTTAGAAAATTTCATACGATATAAAGGGGAAGAACTTATACATGTTTTAAATATTGATAGTTTGTTGATATTAACTCGTCAAAATCAAATATTGATGAATAATGAGCAAAAAATGAAGAAAAATTTCGTGAAAAAATCAAACGAAAAACACATTTAGTTTAACTTGAAAAAATAAAACAAGGTAATACTATTATTCATCATCGCGTAGATTTATCAAAACATGTTTTACTTGTTCCACAACAAGCAACTTATGAAGAAAATCTCGAACCAATATCACCATTAATTTATGTAAAAGATACAACTAATTTTACTATCATCTTATTTTACAACTATTCTTTTTTCTGTTCAAGAAGAACCAGAAGAAATTCAAACATCCAAAGATATACCATTTACTAATATGGATAAAGATTTATTAACAAAACATTCATCAATTGATATAACAAATAAAATTAATGAATTAATAACTTTTAATAATAATGAAAAATTAAAATCTCTTCTTGAAATATCTTTAAATTTGTCGATTACTATTCCATCTATAGAAGAAACATTACAACAACAAATTGATGAAAATAAACGAGTAATATTATGAATTGATTATCAAGATTAAAATATTTTCTTTTTTATATCAAGATTACAGCATAGGCGGCGGACCCATTAGGCTTGGGGAGGCTCAAGCCTCCCCTAAAAAACGCAGAAGAAGGCTTAGGGAAGCTCATTTAATTTGAAAAAAGTTATAGATTGCGTCTTTAATGCAGACATGATTGGCAAAATTTCGATCGATTGTTCTTTAATACTTAGTCATACTGCTCATGAAGATAAACAAAATGATTAAAAAAATGCTAAAAAAAAGGCAAATACGACGCAGAATCTTCATTAGTGACAAGTATCGCATGAATTTTTAAAATGTATATTAGGGTGATCATAAGATGGCAATCATAGACATTCCTCATTGTTTTTAATTTCAGAATAGTGTCACAGATCTAAAAAATTAGAGATCTCCAACATATAGAAAAAATTACACTATACTATAGAAGTACTATACAAAAATGATACCCTTCCCACTAACAAGAATACTGCATAGAGATACCGCATCTCTAATTCAATCTCTAATTGAGACGCCGGAACTCCAGGATACCCAGGGTACTGTCGCAGCTCTTGCAACGGATGACACACGTTCCCTCTGGAACCTTCTTTCACCGCACCCTCATCTAGTGCTGTGATGTGTGGGTGTAGAATTCTTTTTATGAGCCAGTCCACATAAGCCACGACCTACTGCCACAGGAGGCTGCTCAATCATAGTCTTACATTTGTGTGATGCCTATTCCATTTTGTAGAGCATACTTCTTTAGGCTGAGAATCAATTTTTTAATTCTTATTAAAGATCTTTTTGTGGAGTTCCATTGACTTTTCGACCGATTTTTTGTAAGATTTTTCAAATTTTTTATCAGAAAACAATAGAAAAATCACCTTCCTGATAGAGTTTCTCCCAAGAAATGGATGGGATTGCGTTCAAACATTCTTTTCAAGCACTATGAAGCCGAGGCCTATTGCAGATTGTAACTAAAAATTTGGGATCTCTAATTGAGCAAAATCGGTCGTGGCTTACGTGGACTGACTCTTATATCGAGAACTTTGAAAGTCGTGTTGGAGCATTGTCATGTAAAATTCAAAAAAACAATTTCCACTTAGACATGGCGCACGTCTAGCAGACATACCCCATTTCTAATCAAATCTCTAGTAGAGATGCCGGATCTCTAAGATGCAAATCTCTAGCACTCTCCCTAGGCTCAAAATTCGTAGAATATTTTCCATTTAGAGATCTGATTCCTAGAGATGCTGCATCTCTATTAGAGATCTGTTTAGAGATGCGATGTCTCTACAAGAGATGCACCTCTAGGACCCTCCTCCGGGTCAAAATTCCAAAATTTTTTCTCTAAGAGATGTGATTCCCAGAGATGCGGCGTCTATATTAGGGGTCTGATTAGGGATGCGGTATCTCTATGGAACATTCTAGTTGGTGGGAAGGGTATGACTTTTGTGTAGTACTTCTTTAGTGTATTGTAAGTTTTTCTGTGTTGGAGATCTCTAGTTTTTTAGATCTGTGACACTGCTGTAATTTTACCTCTCATCGTTCTCATCCTCTGAAAAAAATTTTGAGCCTCCCCTACATTGAAATCGTTCCGCCGCCGTTGGATTACAGTATCTTATAACTTCTTTACTCAATGATCTTTCATCAAGAAAGAAAGTTTCTCAAAGAAAAGATTCAATTATATCTCAATCATTAAAACGACAAAAAATTCAAAAACAGAAATCTTTGAAAAAAAAACGTCAATCGGTTATTATCAAACAAATTGAAGATATTGAATTTATTCCAACAATCAATGATGAATCTCTTTCTACTCAAGTTTTTAATATCGAACAAGAATATCAAGAAATTCAATCTTCTATTCCAATTACATCCGAAAGTAAAGTTATCTATCATAAATTTGGTGGTAGAATGAAGAAGAAAAAGAAACAAGGCAAAAAAAATCAAACAAATAAATATTAATGATACAAGAATAAAAAAGAAAGAGAAACAAAATCTCAAGAAGAACCACTAATAATAATTCCACGTAAAGCCGCTTCATTTATTTCTGCTACTCAAGACAAACAAATTGATGTTGAAGATAATCCTGCCAAAAAATATAAAAAGAAGAAACGTTCATGTAAGATTTTGTTTTTTTTTTATAGTAAACACAGGTTTTAGAGAAAATATTCTTCCAATTTTTTTTCGATCGATGAAGAAGATCAGCAGACTTTTGAAAAACATCAAATCAGAACGAAAATATCTCCGTTTAAGCTTTATTTTCAGACCTTTCAAAAGCTTGTTGAGAAGTCTCTAACCTGTAAGTCAAAGAAAAATTCTTAACTGAGACTCAGAAAGAACATAAAATTCTTATTTTCGTTCAATCTTTTACAAATTCTACTAGCCTTGTTAATCGATCGAAAAAATGAATCCATCCACTATATTTTATTGTATTTTATTTTTGTCTATAATCAAAATCTTCAATTTTTTACCGAAATGAACTCATAAATATTCTCGATCTCGATCATCAAGCAATAGTAAATTGAAAACTAGAAGAAAAACTAAAAGTACAAATCGATCAAAAAACAAAAGTTAAACATAAAAGAAAATATTCAAATTGAATGAAAATCAATTAAAAATCAAGATGCTATTACAATGCATTTACTTAATGTAAAACGTTTTACGATTCCACCTATATCTGTTATTAACTTTGATCAAACATATCATAAATATAATGATAATATTGAAATAAAAAATGAAAAATTTGAACAATCACGTTTACAACATTTACTTAAATCAATGATAAAAAATTTTGATTTTGATAATAATTTTCAAAAATATAATAAAGAAATACAAAATATTGATCTTGATAAAGAATTATTTGATTTTAATAATGATATAAAAGAAATTGATCAATCAGCTATGTTTACAGAATATATTCGTAAGTAATTCAATTTAACAAAAAGTAAAATCTTTGGTTAAATTATTTGATTTTATATCTAGCTGAATTTTTTCAAAAACAAGCAGAAGAAAAACAAATTCATCGTATTTCATTAACAGCAATAAAAAACATATGAAAATTTTATTAAACATCTTGCTCTAAGAGTATGACATTTACAAGTAAGAAAAATAAAACTAACAGTAGACGTTTTCTAAATGGTTTCAAGCTTTTGAATTTATTTTTTGACTATAAATAGATTTTAGGGAAAATAAGAAAAATTCTTAAAAACATTTCATTCATATATAATTTTAATAATATTATTTTGATCTTAAATAAAATTATGAGATTGAAATAGAATTATGAAATTAGTATTACTTATCAGATTTCTAAATGGATATATTCTGAAAGTTTTCAATATTGTCATTTCTATATCAATTATGAATGCTACTCAATTGTCTTTTCTTCATGTCTGATTTAAGTCTTATATCATTTTGTTTTCTTCTTTGATTCATTAAAAAAAAAAAATTATTAAATACTAGTTTCTATATTGTTACAACTTTTAAAATTTCATAATTCAGTCTTGCTAAAGATTTTAGAATTGAATGACTTTTAATTCTAAATTATTAGCAGGATCAATGAGCGATAATTTGAAAAAAAAAACGTTTTTTTTTGTCACAACGTTCAATGACACGTTGTGAATAAACAATCTTTAAGTTTTCTTAGTGTCCGTGATGAGGGAAGTCTTCCTAAGGAAAAAAGGCAACATCCATTATGTAGAACTAAATAAGCCATGAGTACTCTATAAACAGTTCAGATTCATATCTTATTGCTGATGAGATACTGCATTTTTACGATAGCTTTTAAATGAGGGCTACAGCTCTTCTCAAAGACATCAGGAAAACTGATTCTCGAATTTCGACTTGAAACTCAAGTATTGTACAAGCTTGTCTTTTATACTGCTCAAATATATCAGCGAATTTGATATTCTTATGTCATAATAAAAGTAAATCGAAAGATATGAAACTTTCACAATAAACTATTCTTGTTCAAGTTTATTTCTGTACTAATTTTCAAGTCAAAATTCGAAAATCAATTTTTCTGAAGGCGACTACATCATTTATTTAGAAAATACCATTGAAATATAGTAGCTAACTCTTATAATACATGATATTTACTATTTTATTATTTTAATAGTATTTAAATATATTGATAAATTAATTTTAGTTTGTGCACATACAGATGAATTTCATTCATTAAATAAATATCTTATGTCAGATATATCATATTATTTTGATGATGATTTCATTGATGAATCAGATTTATTTCAAAATCAAAGAAATTTAGATAATTACGTATTTAATTTCATTTATTTTATAATAGAATATTTATATTTTTCTAGAATTGAATCTCGAATTAAACAATCTACTCAACGTTTTCATGATGATTATATTGTTAAAGAATTTTTTAATTGTTGGAAAGATTATACTGTTGAACAAGCTCGTATAGCTGAATTAAGACGAAAACGTATTACAATTGATTTTCGTGAATTTTGGTTTTAAGATGCTATTTCTGATTCATTCTATTCTTATTTTGAACAACCATTAGATTATATTAAAAAATAAGATAATCATCATCAAATGGCATATCGTTTACATAAACGTCTTGTACGTACAGATTGTGAACAACCAAAAGAAACAATGAATAATATAAATCGTTCATCATTTTTATCTATACTATTTAATTTACCAAAAAAATAATTTTAATCGACAAATATCTCTTAGTCGACATCGTCAATTAATTAATTATGATAATAATGATAATAAAAATTATTTTATATCTTTATCAAATTTAATAACACATAATGATGAAATTTTATCATTAATACGTGAACGTATTCATTTTTTAAATCGTACTAAAACTTATATTAATATATATCGTGATGAATTAGCTACTAAAGAACTTTTATTAAATAGTTCATTATTACAACGAGGTACAATTAAAGATTTAGATAAATTAATTCTTGATTATTATGCATCTATTGAACAACAAAATATAAAAATTTTATCAAAATCTTCAAGTAGTATTATTAAATTACCTATGTTGAAACCATCATCATTTATCTATAAATCAAATTCAAAATTATCTCGACAAACAATGGCAATTTCACAATAGATACGATATAAACACTTATTTTTTCATTATTCTAATTAAATTTAAAATTGTTACAGTGATTTATTTCGCAGTTTAGTTCAATACAAAAAAAAGGAATTGAACGTAATAGATCACTCAGAATAAATACTGCGCTGATTATTTCTTTTATATTTCAGTTCGTTTTCAGAGTTTCAGGCTTAATTTTTTAGAAACAACCGTTTTTATCTTCAGTTGAAACACGATGTAAATTTTTCATGCAATGTCGAGCATTCTGCCTAATAGTGTATATGGGTGTGAAAACTGAACAGTTGGTCCTTGACAAGGGTCGATTAAGGCATTGATTACATCTACATTCGTGAATGCTACAACATTGAGACGTCAACTCTATCAAAATATACTCTTTTTGGAGCGTTGCATTCCATTTTTGGAACTGTGTGACTGATTTTTTTTGATCACGGTAACGATCACACCATGGTAGTTCCGCAGTTTCCTAGTTCCAATGGTTTAGTAAACAATGATGCTAGTGTGTCGGTTTGTACTAACTATATTTAGCAGTCGGTGATAAGTAAACTGAAACTGCACATCCCTAGACGCCTTCTCTTTTCAACATTTTGATTACACGAAAAAGAAAGAGCTTCTGAAGCTCTATAAAAATTGGTAATGTAATTTATTATTATAAACTAACATGAGAACACATAAAGCATAATAAATCATGCTGCTCATTTAACAGTCGTTTATATTTCATGTTTGTGGTATCATTTCCAGAAAGGTTTTATTTTGTTACTTATGTAAAATTCAGTGACATGCAATTTTCAAGAGAAGTGAACTCTTTCTATTTTAGAAGAAAAAAATTAGCCGAAACCTATAACAGAGAATAGAGGTATTAAGGAGCTTCGTCCTTCCTTTTTCGAAGTTTGTAGAGAATGGCTCGTTAGAAATGTTTGAAATTTTCAGAATAGATAGATCTCGATGAATAATGCAAAAATTATCATAGACTCAAAGATTTCTGGTGTTGTCTTCTATGAGACACCAAGATCACAATGATGAAAAATGCTTCCAAACTTCGTCTTGTTTTCAAGCATTGAACAGTATTTAGAGTGAATATCTTTTTATTTTTGGTCCTTGAAAAGTGAACAACAAATTTTCCTGCTTGTGTCAGGAATTTTATTCTCGAACCAAAATAATCGAAAACTGATCGTGCTCAACATCTATTCTAAGTCATTGATTACTTTCAAAAGTGCAAATAAGTTTAAGACTTTATCATGACTTTATTTTATATTTTAATACATACAAGCAAAATACAAAAAAGTATTATTTATCAATTAATGTTCCTCTAATATTGGCTCGCTTAGCTTCTTGTTCACGACATGAAGCCTAAAATAAAAAGAAAATGTATAATAAAGTATAATTTATATCGATTATGTATGATTAAGTTTAACATACCTCTTCAATTGCTTTATGTTTATTCATTTCTTTACGTTCAAGTTGTTTTTCAATAACACATGCATTTTGTGTATAAGAATTAGCAATTTCTCGTGCTTCTAATTCTTCTTCTTCTTCATCTAATGTTGATACTGTTACAGATGATGTTTTTCCACGATCTTCACGTTTAATATTTTTAATAACTTTTTCCGATTCCGAACCAAGAACTTGATTATGTATATTTGATGCATTATTTGCTTCAACAGATAAAGCACCATCAAAAAATAAATGTTATTGGACTATTTTGTGCATGTTGATAAAATAGTGAAAGATCACATCTAAAAAAATAAAATTTGTAGAAAATAATATCGAATTCTTTTTTTGTTGTTGTTGCTGTTGTATTTACTTTAAACATTTTTTTTTTCGATATGGTGTTTCAATAACTTCATCTCTACAATAGGAAAAAAATGAAATAAATATATTGATAATATTAAACAATATACTGCCGTCGAATATAAGCTGGTGTATCTTCATTTTTACAAAATTTTTTATGTGCATATTGTTTCGAATCGATAACACGTGATCGATCACGTTTTCTTAATGGTAAATATTCTAATGCACAACCTAAAATGAAATTTTATACATATAGTTAATAAAATATTTGAATTTATCATTTTTTTATTTTACCTAAAATTAATGCCATTTGTCCACATCAACAATAAAAAATATGTGGTGGATTTTCATAAACTTCTTCTTGATCATCACCGAGAATAACACGTTTTTTATCATTTGCATTATCACCCATTTCTTTTATTTAATTAATCTACAATTCAAAATTATCATTAATCAATAGGTTTTTTTAACATTAAATACTTAGGGATGTGGGGTGTGGGTGTGGCCGAATGTGCTCTTCACTCATACCCACACCCACACCCACACACCCTTAATATGATCGTATCCAACAGAAGCTCAGCCGTACTCATAGTGTCCCTCACGCGTTTGTAGAGATAAATCCCGTTTCTCGGAACCGCCAAAAATCTCACAACAATCTTTAATTGAATTAATAAACATCATTCGTGTTCTTTGGTTTTCTTCTTTGAATATGTAAGTTTGATATGACAGAATCGTTGCATCAATGGTATGGGGACACGAATCCAACATGATAGTATTCCGAAAGTGTCGAAGTAAATTTTTCAATACACTCGTATGTAAAGTGGACTGTTGTGCTTAGTATTGAATTCTATATCTCCATTCACATTTATTACCGTTGTATTATCCATCTTCTCTTGATTTCTGCTTCTTTCTATTCATATTATTACTTTGTTGATCATTGATACTTATTTTATTTGACTAGTTATCGTATGATTACCCACACCCTTAAGTGTGTAATTCTTCAGTTTTTATCTTGAATTGTTTGAACAGAAAGTATTTATTACTATTGATATCTCTTCATTTCTTTCTCAGACATCATATTGATTATACAAAAACGAAATATGTCGCACGATCATCATCAACAGCAAAAACAAGAATACGAGAATATTGACGTTCAAACACGTGCATCTTATGAACGATTTCTTGAATTTGAACGTTTAATGAAGATGTATCCACCATCGTCATCTCAAAATTTTAATCCAACACCACTTGGTCTATGTGCTTTTGCATTAACAACATTTATTCTTTCAATGTATAATGCAGGTGTAGCTGTACCTGTTACAGCTCCACATGGTGTTGTTATGGGTCTTGCTCTTTTCTATGGTGGTTTAATTCAACTTCTTGCTGGTTTACTTGAATTTCGTGTTGGAAATAATTTTGGTGCACTTGCATTTTGTTCTTATGGTGGTTTTTGGCTTGGACTTGCTTCACTTTATGTTGAATCATTTAATTTTCTTGGAAACTATCCATCAGATGTACAAGAAAAAGCTCTTGGGGTTTTTTTCCTTGGATGGACAATATTCACAGCTGCTTTGCTTGTTTCATCTTTTCGTACTAATTTAGCTTTAGTAGCATTATTTTTTTTTCTAACACTTACTTTTATTTTACTTACAGCAAGTAAATTTCAATTAGGTCATCTTAATTTACAACGTGCAGCAGGTGCTTTTGGAATTATAACAGCATTTATTGCTTGGTATGCAGCATTTGCAAGTTTGCTCAAACGAGGTGTAAATTCATATTTTTCATTACCTGTTTATAACTTAGCACCAGACTCACCATTAATCATTACCAATGAATCTTCAACACATACTCGTACACAAAAAATATAAAAAATTAAAACATAAGAATAATTGATATTGTAAATAAAAACTTTTTTAGTATTCCTTATTAAAAATAATCATTTTTTTTCTATTATACCAGTAATATGTATTTATATTTTTATGAGCTAATTATCTCGAATAAATATATTCAATACTAACGACGAACAAAGAGAAAAATCATACAAAGCTGAAGGAAAAATGTACATATACAAAAAAAAGAAAGTGTTCTACCGATTTCCAAGTCTTATTAATAATTTAGTTTAACATTACACTGATTCGTCACTATAAGCTACATAAAGAAATTTAGGGTTTAGGTGTGGATGCGGATATGATTGTAGATCTTCTATTGATCATGACACCCACACCCACACCCTCAATTTGTTTTCATTTTTACGAATTCAACGTTAAAGAAAAGACTTTGAGTAATATTTTCTAAATATTGTGGTGAATGCTCGATAGTACTATGGAAGTTATTTTAATAAACTCATTTTCTCATAGAATATTTTTTAGTTTGAATCAATCACATTTTCATCTGTTTTTTTAGTTCTACTTTCAATTTTTGTATGTGAACAATACTAGTCACGGAGAATATTTTGATTTTCACATCCATGGCGGCTAACTCAAACATGAAATCACATATTGACTGTTGTTCTTGCTGTTTCATCTTCGGGGTCCACATTGGTGCCAATAATGGGAGATTGTTAATATGTAGAAAGACGGAGTGGCTGTCCGGTAAAGAGTTGTGGTCCATCTACACAAATGCAATATATACATTTTCTTCGTACAAGTCTTATTTACCAGAGACATTGAGCTCGGTAGGCCAATGAGTACAAGAAATTCTGTCCATGGCAAATTCTTTTCTAATCTTCCGGAATTCTTCAAGCTTATCGGATGGAACCATTGCTGTTGGACTTATACATACATAAGCGACAATACGTAATAATCGAAGACATCTATTCTTATTTAAGCTTGTGACCTTTTTTGCTTTGTCATGAGTATCGAGAGCTGGTGTATTGCAGTGAATGCACCGAGAATCAAAAATCACAAGATCGCCCGCTTTACATTTGACTAGGCGCGGTTGAAATTGTTTGAGTAAAGGATGGATTTTTGTCGACGCTGACGTCATTGTATTGTCCATCATCAGTGTGAGCGATGGGTTGAAGTTCTTCGAAGTGTTTGTGTGACAGAGGCACGACAACAAGACCACCAGTGAATTCTTTATTATCTGTTAAAGATACGAAATCTTGAATTGAACAACGATGAGGTTTTTCAATTGAATTCTGTACACAGACAAAATACAAACAGATGAAATTACTTATAAAAAAAGTACTGAAAGAAAGAACTGACTTGCTCACAATGGTACCAGCCACTTATTGTCTTCCATGTACGATTCAAATGCCAATCGCGAAAGCAACCAGCTGCATCGAACGAGACAAGTAATTCAGGAGTTTGCCATATTTAAGTAAAAATCTTTTTCACATTTGCATTACCTCGTATTGACCACATCAATTATGACTGACTCAAACGTGAGGCAAACCGGGCCATGCAATGTTCCATGTTTTCGCATCATCTCGTTCAATGTAATATGATGGTAATAAGCTCTCAAAATGTTTTCACAGTAAATCGATATTGGAGGTAATCTCATCAGATGATGGCACATTAGAGAATACTGCAAAACCATTTTCGTTTAAATATTCAACGCCCTATTGTATCTGTTCGTCGTCATTAACGAGAAAACGAGGAGATTGGATTTGATAATCAATAGAAAGATCTAGATTCGAACTGGTTTTTTTTGTGTCGATGGCGATGATGACATTGAAGCGAGCTGACCCATGAGTGAATTGAAAATATATTACTTTGAACAAAAAACGGTCAACTGATTTCTTTTAACAAATGTGTGACAAAAAATTTTATCTATTTATAATCAGACGATTTGCGCGAGCGCAGCAGCGATGCATTTCGGCGAACGAACAAAAAGTAATCGTTCTGTTTCAATATGTGACAATGAATCATTTATAAGCTTTTTCTCCTAGACACGAAAAAATCAAGCATATAGAAGCAATATAGATAAGACCTGCCTGATGCACGTTTTTTCACCTGTGTCAATAGAATGTTTTAATAAGAAGAAATTTGCGAAGGTAGTCAACCACTAACTAGTACTTAGTCATAGAGAATATCATTAAATTTATTGGTACACATACCATGCCATACGCTAAAATTTCAATAAAGGGTCTACAATTCTCGACAGAAAGCCTAAAAGAATTTATTCTTTTGCTATTTTCCATATCTTACTGCGAATCACATTCTGCGTAGGGTCCAAATTTAAAAGCAATCCCAAGTGGCCATCCAATAGGCATTATCCGTCGATTTTACCTTCAGATGGGCATCGAAGTTCCATATGGACCTCTCGAAGTGCCACTTTCTGATGGGTTTCGAGGATATCAGAATTTGATCAAAATAAAAAAAGGGTTTCTTCGATAGATGTCTCAGTTTCAAGTTGTCAAAAGCTATCGAACATATATGGAATTATAGATTTGAACATGGGTACTCTAGATTCACTTTCGTCGAACAGTTGATCTACATATGAGTTGTTAATCTTCTATGAGAATCATCTTTTCAATATACTAAAAGATAGGACGTTTAGATGTTTTTTTTTGTTTTTCCTTCAACTTGCGATTCTATCTTTTTAAACCTAACAAATAATATTTTTATCAAGAAAAAATTTCCTTTTTCAAGTCTCTGAATGACACTACAATTTTTGTAATCTGAAATCCTGTTTAAATGGCTTATTTATTAAATATGACATGTCATAATAAACTAATTTGGACGATAAAACATGAAATTAACATTTGATTTGTTTTTAGAAAGTTCAGAACGTGAAAATCCATCAAGGATGTATCTTGGTCAAAAACACAAGCAGATTTATATCCTGATTTCAATAAGTGGATAAGAAAAATTGGCCAGCAAATTCTTAAATTTAGCTGCCAACATATACTGAACATAAATAATTCTACTAAGATTATTAAACAAATTAAAGAACATTTCAAAATCGAATTTTGAATAAGTTTTGGCTTATAAAGATTAAACTCAGTAGCTAGTACATATGAATAACTAAACTATTTTTGAGTAGATTTATTTTTTTAACTCTAATTAAGATTAACTATATGATGAAAATATATATTAAAAACGAAAATTTTTAAAGTTCTGTTGTCTTTTCTTTGCGAAATTGATTTCGACATCGTTATCGTAACGATTTTGAGGATTGTCTACCATAATAAACATCATCATGTTTTTCATGATTTGTCTGTTTTGTTCATCATTCATATTCGTTAGAATTGCTTCCATTTGTGTTTGTTCACTGACGGTCATACTAGAGTCCTGCGCGAGTTCAACTTTCCGAACCCGCACCGGATCCAACAATTTTATTTTAACTCGAAACCGACCCAACTCGACAAATTTTAACCCAAACTCGATCTAATCCAGTCCGATATCAGAAATTACATTCGTTCGTGCTTAACATTTAAAGCCTGCACATTATTGTTCTTAATTAACA